GGGTCAATATTAAACCTTATAGAGTTTGCCAGAATCAATTTTGTAACGTGTCGGGGATAGTCTCTCTAAAAGGTTTGTTCGGTGCGCAGCGATGACTAAAGTAAGCTGAAAGTCACGATGAATGTGCTGGATTAGGGTAACTAGCTCTTCTTCGGTTTCTTCATCAAGGGCGGAAAAGGGCTCGTCCATTAAGAGGATAGGACGACGCATCAAGAGGCATCGTGCCAACCCAACCCGTTGAAGCTCACCACCAGAAAGTGCGTTGGGTTTTTTATTTGTATGCTTCAAAAGTCCAACTTGTTCCAAAATAGTGTTGATCTGGTGGGTCTGTTCTTTTGTAAGTGTTCTTTTGGAGGTGATCCCTAAAGCAACATTTTCAAAAACAGAAAGCTGTGGGAATGTATTATGATTTTGGAAAAGGGAGCTCACTGGTCGTTCGTGGATTGGAGCATTGGTTTTGTTTTCTTCTTTCAGAGTAATTTTTCCCGTGTTTGGTTTGAGAAAGCCACTGATCAGAGAAAGAAGAGTGCTTTTACCAGAGCCACTTTTTCCTTGGATAACGGTACAGCTTTTAGACAAGCACTTTAGGGTGAATTGATACACTTCAGAAGTGTTTGGATATGAAAATTCTACATTTTGTAAATGAATCATATGTGAGATGCCTTGTGTTTTTGAGAAAGAGAAAGAAAGAAGAGGCAAAGCATCATCAGAACGCTTGCAATGGTTAAGGCTTTGTCATAGGAAAACTTTGTTAAAGCCCCATATAAAAGGGTACTTAACGTTTCTGTCTCTATGCTGAATAAACTGACAGCTCCGAGTTCTCCAAGACATAAGCACAGGCTTAATCCTAAGGTTTGGTGGACGGTTGGTTTTATTCCCTGGTAGATAATGGCAAAACACTTTCTAAAGGGGAGTTTCAAAGTTGAAAATAGAGGAGAGAAGGAGGCGATTTGGTTTTGTAAAACAGGACCAATGCGCACAATGAAAAGAGGGAGGACGAGGAGGCTATGGATAAAAATGATGAGAACAGAGTCCGGAAGATGAGGCCAAAAAAGCATAAAGATGGGTAAACAGAGCGTTAGGGGAGAAGTGGTTGTCATCAAAAGGGGCAAAGTTTGGAATGTTTTTGAGGGCATGTTTTGAAAGTGTAAGTTTAAAGTGGAGAGTATTAAAAATAGAATGGTACCTAAGAGAACGCTGGCCATGGCAAAGGAAAGGCTAAAAAAAACAGCGGATAAAACTTGTGTGTCGAAAAAGAAACTAAAGTCCCCAACGGTACAACAGTGGAAAAAAAAGAGAGCATAGAGGCCGTATAAAGGAGAAGAAAAAAGCCAAGATCTTTTTTTCTTAATTTGAGGAGGATGTATAGAGAGAGGTTTTTCGAGTCCTTTGGTCCGATACTGCGTCAGTATAAAGATTAAAAGTCCACTTAAAGTCATTTGGATCAAAGCGATACTGCTGGCTTTTATAAGGTTCGTGTCAAAACGTAGGCTTTGGTATAATGCAACTTCTAGCGTTGTTCCTTTGGGGCCGCCACCAAGAAGCAACGGAATGCACAGACCATGAATGCACAGGATGAGAACGAAAATAAGGGCAATGGGGAGGCATTTTTTTAAAGCATATCCTTCTAATAACTTCCAAGAGTGCCATTTTGAAAGGTGGAGCATTTTAGAAAGCTTTTTTGATTCTTGAGGGACGCTTTGGAAAGCCTGAAGGCATATGATTGCAATCAAAGGAGTGTTCATTAACCCATGAACGCAAATGATCGCTAACGTTCCATAAGCAGGCATATTGAAGAGAGACATTGTGAAAATCCATGCAAATCCTGTGATGAGAGAAGGCATTAGGAAAGGCAGGTAGGCGGGTGCAGGAAGGGTGATGCGACCCTTTAGGAGGAAGGCCAACCCTAAACCACTGATGGCGGCAAATACTGTAGACATCATCCCCTGAAAGAGGGTGAATGTCGTAATCGAAACAAGGGTGCTCATCTAAGATTTTCTTGCCAAGTTTCAATCCAGGATTCTTTTGCGGCGTCAACTTTTTTGGGATCAATCCAGAAAGGGTTGAAGTCTTTAATGTCAGGAAAAGTTTCAGGGATAGAGGCTGCATTGATGGGCCACATCCAGTTATCTAATGACATCACTTTTTGCATTTTTTGGCTTAGTAAAAAATTGATAAAAGCTTGTGCTTTGCTTGGGTTTTTTGTGGATTTTAGAATTCCTGTCACCATGACTTGCAAAGGGTGACGTTCAAAGCGCAGAGCATGGATATCGGTTTCATTTTTCGACCGATGGTACGGGTCTGCGCTGGCATAGGAAACGATACATTTTCCCTGCCCTTGGGAAAAAAGCCCATAGCTATGTGACCACCCTTTTGTGACAGTTAAAATTTTGGGAGAAACGCGAGCCCAGGCAAAGAAGTCCGAGGATCTTGAAAGAGGAACTGATCGTTTCCTATGGCCTCTAAAAGTTCTTCAAAACTTGTGGGATTAAAGTCGGTTCCTCGACAGACAATACAAAGAGGGGCTAATAGGTAAGGCTGCAATTTATTGTCTTGTGGAAGGTCGACTGTTTTTTGGAAGCTGTTTTTTACACTGTCTAAAGGACGTAGGAATTTTCGAATCGACTCAGAAAATAACGTATCAACACCCAGAATGATATCGGCCTTTGAAGCGTCTCCTTCTAAACGTAGACGCATCACAAGCGACGGTGTGTCAGAAAAAGTACGCCAGTTGATTGTACAATTTTGTTTTTGTTCAAAAACGTTTATTTCAGACGTCATTCTTTGGGGAAGTTTATAGGTTGCATAAACGGTGATCTGATCTGGTGGGTCGGCATTAACCGAGCCAATTAAAAGAAAGTTTAAGGATAAAAGGGCATAAATGCCAAAAATGCGAAAATATGCACGGATATTTACCTGCGGAAACTATAATAATAATAAGGATAGTAATAATGATAATAATAATAGTAATAATAAAGTCTTTATTCCATCATAAGATAAAACTACATATATTACGTTACAATGAATGTCGGAAAAACTACATTAGAAATCTTCATACATATTATGAATTAAAAAGTATATCATTACAATAAATGGAGCTTAAAAATCAACCTATTTACAAATGTGTTCATAAAGCGCTGTGTATTAATTCTCGAGCGTGCGCAGCCTTTTTTCCTACGATTGTGTACACAAGTCTTCTGGACAGGAATGATGTCTTTTAGGGGGTGGCAATCCGTTGATATTAATTTCTTCAAAATGTTTCGGTCTTGTTTGTTTAAAAGGTTCTTGATAAAAACTGGAAATGA